CTCACCAACCTAGCAGAATCCCGAAGGTGCCAAGCCGCGGGAACCTGAGGTGAAGCAAAGGTGATCACGTTGCTTGGTGCCTTCGAGATACCACTAGGTTGGTGAGCAGCACTTTGCCCAGCTGAAGAGGGGGGTTGCCAGGCAGCTGCTCTCTTGCGAGCGGGCTCCCAAAGAGCTGGGCACAGCCTCATGGGCAAATGGCTGTGTTGCGCTGTCGCAGCAGCGCAACACAACAGCCATGAAGCAACCATGCTCATGAGCAGCCACCCAGCAAACCCCCTTTGCAGCCGGGCACAGCGCCATTCACTGACCTAAGGGTATTGCCAAGCCGCGTGACCGCCTGTTCATTGCCGCCCGGCTCCTGCAGCTTGGCGCTTCCAAATGCCAGTGAATGGTGCTCTACATGGCTGGAAAGGGGGGTTGCGTGAGCAGCTGTTCTGCTCTTGCTCGCCCACCTCCCAGCCACATGATGCATGTCCCAGCTCTCATTATGGAGCCAGGGCACCTGCACCGCCGCCACCATCCCAGCTTGGCTTTTTCTGCGGCTTCCAACCCGAGTCTTTTGGCAGTGGCTGCTCTGGGCGCACACTCTATGGTTGTGGGCCAGCTGCCTGCAGAGCGTACAACTATAGAGTGTGCGCCCAGAGCGGCCACTGCCGAAAGACTTGGGTTGGAAGCCACTGAAAAAGCCAGGCTGGGATGGCGGCGGAGGTGACCTGGTTCCATAATGAGAGCTAATCCATACATCGTGAGGCTGGGAGGTGGGTGAATGAGAGCGGAACAGCCACTCACGCAACCCTCCTCTCCAGCCGTGCACTGGCATTTGGAAGGCGCCAAGCCGTGGGAGCCGGGCCACAGTGGACAGGCATTCACACAGCTTGGCGATACCCTAGGTCACTGAATGGCACTATGCCTGGCTGCAACGGGGGTTTGCCGGGTGGCTGCTCATGAGCATAGTCACTTCATGGCTGTTGTGTTGCGCTGCTGCGACAGCGCAACACAGCCATTCGCCCATGAGGCTGTGCCTGGCTCTTTGAGAGCCGTCTCGCAAGAGAGCAGCCGCCCAACAATCCCAAAACAATAAACCCCCCAAAATAAAGCCCAAGCCATATTTTGTAGGCAAAAAGAAAATAAGACTTATTTTTTTGTCTGTACCCCTCCCCCCTTCCCTGATTTGATTTGTTAGCTGCCCTGAGTCCCCTTCGGGGGAAAAGGGCAGCATATAAATATAAATATAATAAATGAAATTATTGGGGAAACACGGTATGTTGTGAGCAAGTCAAGGGAGAAAAGTTATAATAAGACTGAATGAAAGTAATCTGTGGAGTGAAGTTGAATATATACAGGGAAAGGGAAAAGAAAAAGGTCTCGCTACTAAGATCAGAAATTATGAATTGGTATCATCTAGATTTTGGATGGATATGAAAGTTGGAATCCACACTTCAGTGCTAATTTCATGTTCTAGTGAATTATGATAGCAAAGAACCAGAGATAACGTTTGGGAAGGATTCTGCAATATTCTGAATTATGATAATGTAATGCAAGTTAATAAATAAAGAGGAAAATAATTCTGATTATTTAAATAATGGTCTGATAAATGGGAATGTATTGAGAAAGTACATAAAAAGTGATTGGGACATTCACAGATCAAGGATCGATGATAAGTGTGATGATATCATTAATATGTGCTTAGAAAAAAGTCTGTTTCAAAGGTCCTTTTTCAAGAGGCCTGGACTTTCTGGTTTTTCTTTGAAGACATTTCACTTCTCATACAAGAAGCTTCTTCAGCTCTGAGAGCTCTATATTAAGCAGTATATTAAAGCCAGTATATTAAAATATACTATATATAGATAGATGCCTATTAATAGGGATTGTTATTGTTCTATGGAACATGGATTGTGTCTGCTGTTTTTAATTGATTTGGAATATGTTGAAGTATTATAAATATTTACCTTACAGGAAGTGAATTATTTTTCATATTGTATTTTATGTAAGATGCCCAGAAAAAGGTCATAACATACTTAATTAACATTTATTAAATCTACATACTTCACTGAACAAAATTTATGTCTTTCACATACAAGGTTAATTTAAATTAGCTCTTTCTTAATACCACTACCAACAAATGTTAATTAAACTATTACTTTGATATGTATGTGTACGGCTATATATGTGCGGGGAGGGGCATGCCATTGTACAGTATCATCAATAGTAGTATTCACATTTAAACTTCAAGATACTTCAATGTTTCTATAAATGTTCTGTACAATATTTTAATACAAAAGAGAAAAGAGTTAATGAGTAAAGAGGTAAAGAGAATGTCCTTTGACTGTATTTTTACTGAACTAGACTCTGAAATCAAGGATCAAAGAGCAGTTATACAATGCCCCTGGAAAAGAACTTTCTCAGTCCTGCTATTTGAATTTTTATAAACTGGCTACAATGTCAAATTCTCATAGAATTCTGTCTTATCTTTCTTCTATTTCCTGACACCTTCTACCACAGAAAAATAGATAGAGGCTTAATGAATAATAGGACAGATATTTCCTTGCTTGCAAGCCCTATAACAATTGCCTATAATTACTACATATATGTTGCACACTCACCTAAATATTTCATTTTAAGATCTGTGTACTCTGTTGTAATGCTGCTTACCCTTCCAAAATGCATGCCAGTACTGTATGATTCCTTCATGTTCCAACACTACATAGAATATTTTATTTCTTTTTCTTAGTTCTTCCCCAAAATTAGAACGTTAGTTTATATTTCAGAATTAGTGAAATTAAAATCCTTATATCTAGTTTCCGAGGAAACTTTTTTTTTAATCTGGATAAAAAAATCTAAAACATGCATGTAGCTAAATCACACAAAAAGGTCAGACATTAGCAGCACACTGATAGAATGCTGCTGTCCTGCTTTTGTTCTAACACTACGAGGTCTGCATTGCTAAATTGACTTAGCAGGTTCTGAAGTTGATGACTTCAATAAACAGAATCAGCATATCATCATCACTGGGAGAGAAAGGCTATAAAAAAGGGTTTTTTAAATTTTTATAATCATCTGTTTTTTAAAAACAAGTAATATGGAAAATTGTTTTGATGCAGGAAAGAACTAGAAGAGTTTGCAGAGATGAAGGAGAAAGAAGACGTGAAAAAAGCTCTTGAAAGGGAAAAAAAGAAAAAGGATTACCTAGCTCGAAAGATGCATTACCTCCTTAGCACTCAGCAGGTTGGTGTACCTGTCCCTGACAGCTCATGCAAACCACTGGGACCCCTAGCTTGACAAAGATAAACTAGCAGGCTGAATGGGACATGACTTGTTGAAAAGATATCACAAAGGCACTACTTCGAGTTCAATTTAGTGCATTTCTATAGGCGAGAGCAGGTACCATGACTGCTGCGTGACAGCAGCTTCATAGAGACAGCATTAGCAGGGCTGGCAGAAAGAGCCCAAGTCAGCAGTTTGATTTGCCACTGTGATAACACAACAGGAAGGGCATAACCTCACTTTAAAAACTCATTTTGACTGGCTTATTGTTGTGTTATCTCAGTTGTCAAAAGCTAGTTATTAAGCCAAAGAGCTATTTGATTTTTTTAAAATTTTAATTGAACTGAAGTTTGGATCAGAATTACTTTCCTTTACTGTGGTGTTTGAATTAAATTGTAAGTCTAAGATGTCTTTTAAAAACTTTCTGGAGAGCTCTTTTAGACTCCGCACAATTTCATTGTTCCTTTATGGCTGTTGAAAGTATTTAGTTACTCCCTCAGAAACATGTTTCAGTTCTGAAAAGTTGTTTGATATGGGAAGTGTTCCTCTTTTTAAATCTGATTTTTCATCGGTGAGAATAAATGTTTGTAGGTACCACCTATTTATATTTAGGAAATGCAGCACAATTATTTCAATCTTTATTAAGCAAATTTATTATTGAATATTAGTGGTTTTTTTTATAAAAGCATGTGCACTTGCTGCTTAACAAGTGTCATTCCTACAATCAAGGATCAATCACAATGTCAAGTGCTTTCATAACCAAAATTGTCTCACCCTTTTTTTCTCTCTGTCACATCGATCATGAATAAGTAATGGTGGAGTTTGTTTATATAAGCTGCATGGCAATTAATTATGGGAAAGTGAACTGATTAGTAGAAATTAGTTATTTTAATTGTAAATTTAGTGAAATCAAGGTTTGTTTGTGAAGAAACAGAAGAAAAGACTAATTAGTACATGAATATTATTAAGAATGAATTATTCATATGCTGCCAGAAAGAGCACTGTGAAAATAATCACCCTGCAAAAGAAACATGTCATGTTGTTTTAAAACTTTAACTAGAATGTATAATAACCTCTAAATAGAAGGGGGAAATGGAAAAATGGACTCAGGGCAGAAGATCAGCATCCTTAAAGTTAATGTGGAAATTGAAAATGTATGGTTTGGAAGAAAAGTTCAAAAACAAATTTAGTGTAGTTTACATTTGTTAGCTGTTTGGGGAATAAACATGCAAAAATCATGATTGTGTCTGAAAATATAATGTATTCATTGAGATACTACTTAAGAACTGGCATTTCAAATTTTAACCTCCCCCCCACTTGCCCAATTATTTTTGCAAAATAGAAATGTATTACACATTCACTATGATCTCGTGGACAACATGTTAATGCAAATATTATTCAAGAAATGAAATTATTTGCATCCATTATAGTATACAGATTTTTTATATTTCTTTACATTACTTTTTCAGTGTGCTTAAAGCTGGTATTAAATAAGCATGAAAAGAAGTTAAAAATAGAATCAGAATTGTACTTTGATTAAAACTCACATTAGAAGCGGATGATGCCTGAAGAAATAAATGACAAGCTCTAAAACTTGATACTTATGAAATATTGAGCTTTTAATCAACGTTCTTCATTTATCTTTGGTTTCAATAACTAGTCAAGTAACACCCAACACATTTAAGCCTTCCTTTGTTTGAAGAAAATTCTTTCTTCATGATCCTTGTAATTATGAAAAAACCTGCTATGAAATCTTTGCCAATGTTTCCCAAGTCATAAATTATGTTATCTGCTCCACCTACTGGTTGCCTTGTGCAAGATAATTGCACTGAAAAATGCTCCCATAGAGTACAAAAAATCTCTTTTTACATATCTATTTCTGTTGATTTGACAAGATTTGAAATATATAATTCGAATTTACTTAATATTTTTCTTCATTTGTTTTTATTATTTATATTTATTTACAAAAGGAGCTTTGTTAACAAAAAATATGAACCATTTGTTCCTCACAAACTATTCCTATTTTATTATTTTGGTAATGACTGCATAAAAAGTTTATTTTTATGACAAATCAAATATGGGAAAATGAATAACCATTTTAAAACGAAACAGTAGGAAACACGAGGAAATTACACTTTAGAGTTAAGGCTTTTATTAACTGAACATAAATTATATACAGTTTTGAACCTTGAATGAACAAAAATGGAAAATGAATGTAATATTTCTTTTTCTTGTGTTTGGGGCTTATAGAGGTGTCTTTTCCTATTTTCTCAGTAAAGTTTATGTTGTAAGTCTGCTTTTCAAAAATGTTGATCTATTTAAAATATTGATTCAAATGCTTTTATCAATAGCAGTAGTAGCATTAGAACTACAAAAATAGTCAGAATATTAGTTTTTATGTTTTATTAAGTAATGTCCTTGTAGCTAAACCTTGCATGAAAGCTAATTCTAGTACTTTGATTTGTAAAACAATTCTATTTATACAAGTTTATTTTTACACTATTTCTGGATTTAAAACAGCTGAGTTGTTCATTATAGCTACATTGATGTAGGCTTTCAAAAACTGAAAACAAAAATGATGTGCTCACATTGCTTTTTACTTTTAAATAATCCAGTAAAAGTAATCAATATATTATAGGTAAAATGGTTCATGGCAGTACAGGATATATAATCAGGTAAAATCTAAATTCTGTCCAGTTTTGTTTCCTCTTCTCTTTTTTTGGAGAGGGGGGGGGGGGCTTGAGGAAATGGCTGTTGATCCAATTTTAGTTGACTGCTCACTTTTGAAGTACTGAAAAATATGGACATGAATAGATCTTTAATCTGAAAATGGCAACAACAAAATGCAATTTTCTAGTGTGGATATTTAAATACTAGTTGAAGAATTCTTGAGAAAATGCTTTTCATCTAGCGATATAAAGGAAGAAAAAAAAGATTGATTCTGTGCTATCAAGTCATTTTCAACTCATAGTGACCACATGCATAGAGTTTCTTCTTGACAGGCTATCCCTAACCTGTTCTCTTAAGTCTCCAAATACAGCACTAATTGCCATTGTAACTCAGTCCATCTATTTTGCTGCTGGTTATCCTCTTCTATTTCATTCTCTGCATGTGACTGATTCTAGGAAAAACTGGCTGGACATCTATAAAATTAACAAATTAACAGAGTTGGAAGGGACCTTATAGGTCATCTAGTCCAACCCCCTCCCAAGCAGAAGAACCTACACTATTTCTGACAGATGGCAGTCCAGTTTCTTCTTGAAAGCTTCCATTGATGAAGCTCCCACAACTTTTGAAGTCAAGCTGTTCCACTGGTTGATTGCTTTCACTGTCAGAAAATTTCTCCTTATTTCCAGGTTGAATCTCTCCTTGTTCAGTTTCCATCCATTATTCCTTTTCTGGCCTTCAGGTGCTTTGGAAAATAGCTTGACCCTCAAATATTGGAACACTGCTATCATGTCTCCTCTAATCCTTGTCTTCACTAAACTAGCCATGCCCAGTTCCTGCAATTGTTCATCNAGTCAACCCTGAGCCGGTGAGATTTGAACCGCTGAACTGCTGATCTAGCAGTAGCCTGCAGTGCTGCATTTAACCACTGCGCCACCTTGGCTTGGTTTCGTCATCATTCGAGGAGACATCATCAGTGCACTTTGAATTGGGCTCATCTGTCAGGGCACTGGTCTTTAAATACCATTTTCTGTGATGCAAATTAGTGTGGGTGTTGTTTGTTTGACTGCTTTTGAGTCATGGTCTGACTTCGGACTGTGATTGGCTGGCTGTTGTTACTGAAGCATGTTCAGAAGAAAGCCCTTCTAATCAGAAGGCTACCACTAGAACCCATCTAATCGCATTGCAAATGATGTTCCAGTTGGTGATTCTTGGAAACAATACAGCTAACATACATGCTAGAAATATTTCTGCTAAAACAGATGGGATGCCAGATGTTGGGATTCATAAATTACAAACAAAAACACTCTTGCCTTTCTTCTAAGGATTTGGTGTGTGACAGAAAATGTTACACAAGGTGCTGCTTGGATCCTGTTGTTACAGCAACTGTAATGGATGACATCTTTTCCTGGCGCTGTCTTTTAAAACCTCTGAATTCTTGCTTCAGCTCCCTTTGGTCAATGTTCCCTAGAAATGCTAAGTTCTGGGTCAAGATTAGAACACCTGCAAAGGGACATGCTCTGGGGTGAAACTAAAGGGGTGAATACTTGAAAATGTGCTTTTTTTGTTCCTGTCGCAATTCTGTGGAACAGTTTTCCCTATCCCCAAAGAAAGATAATCTCTTCCTTGTTGGAATTTAGGAACAAATCTGAAATGATTTTCTTCCATTACACTTTTGTATCTTAATTCTTAAATCTGGCTATTAATATGTTAGCTGTGATTGTATATTTTATGCTTTTATTGCAATTTTCTGTTTTATGGCTTTATGTCATTTAAATTATTCCAAGACTCCCAGGTTTTTTTTATTTGAACAGCATAGAAATTACTATTGTCTAAAACCCTTATAGAAAAAAAGAACACCTCACATTTCTGTATTATCTATTCTAGCGTCATATCCATTCCATAACTAAATCTATATATTACTTTGTTTCTCAATCAGGTGTTTATTTCCTTTCCTCTTCAGTTAGTATGACCAGTAGCTTCTATGGCTAGGAGATAAAAAGAAATGAAGTCCAGTACATCTGGAGGAACCAGACTGAGGAAGGATGATGTAGTAAATTTATATTTACATATTTTAGTTCTGCTAATTTACCCCAACATACTTGTTTTCTCCATATGCTTTAGCAAGATGGATGTCCTTTGGGTCCCTTTCTTGGAGCAATGTTACTGATAGGACACAATGTGAGTCTTTTTCATTGCATCATCTGTTCTCTAGAATGACACTCCTTTTCCCCACCAAAATACGGCTAGCCCTTATCCTGCTAGTTTTCAGAGAGGCACTAAACTTTGATTCT